TCTTTCCCTTGTAAGGTTAGTTCTAAAAATCATACCCCACACTGTATGTAAACAGACTTTCCTTAAAGTATATTTCTGTTAACCTCATATGTACAGTAGCTAGATAGCTTTTTAAAATACCGAATCTAGAATTCTGATCTCTACCTTGCACACACAAAAATCTCTCTGTGAAAAACAGTGACCTCTAGTGGATTCATTAATTAACACTGGCATAATCCCTACTAAGAATTTAGAAATTAAGGTAACACATGCATCAAAATATAAATGGCACTGATATGGTTATAAATTGACAGGTGTTATACATAATTAAGGGCTATATTATACTGTATATAATTGGATGCACAGTTAAGGGTAACTTAAGGAAACACTGGTCTTAATGGGGAATGGAATATGTTGCTGTCAATTGGCAGCTCTGGTGAAAGACATTAAAAAAGGAGAAAAAGAAAGTGGCAAGTAAAAACTGTTCTGAGCTTCCGGGTCACCTTGGATAATGCTATAGTCCTTTATCCTCCAAACAAGAGAATTGATAGCTGGTGATGAAATGAATAATTCAGTCATCACTATGTTTAATTCAATTTAAAAAGGCCACACCATGGTGTATTTTACATATTCTAAATCACACAGGATTGGATTGGCAGGCAAAGGTTCTCCATCAAAAGTAGTGTCATTGGTGTAACTGATGCTAGGGAAATTAAGAGTGCTGTCATATCACCTGGTGCATCAGATAAGACTTTAAGGCTTTCTTTCTTTGCAGGTAGAGATTTTCTGTTAACTTGAATCTCATATTTAAGTCATTATGTTTCTTAGCATAGATCTTCACTATCTTATCACAAAGGGCACTGCCTTATAGTTGCCATGATACTCTTTCAAACGCGAATTATCTCGTTAAGCCTTTGTTGCTAATTTCTAGACATTACCTTCATTTTTGTTACCATTATTACATTTTATGCCATTTCACCTTTACCTTCATATTTGTTACCATTATTACATTTTATGCCATCTCACCTTTATTTAAAAATTTCCTCAAATTCAGCATATAGTAAAATATTGCAAGTGTTTATTTCCCAAGAAAGAAAACTCCAGCAATGCCTATAAACATTTTTTTTGCAAAAAAGTGACTTTTAATTGGCTTTCTTTAAATATATAGAATATTATACTAATTTCAATAAAGACTAGGTGAATTAATAACCTGAAATTATTTGTACGTAATTTATTTCAAAGTTTAGAGAGATTTTTTTTGAAATTAAAAATAACTCATTAAAAATACCTATTTGAGGGACCAGCAGTTAGTGTAATGGTTGTGTTGCTGGACTCCCATGTAGTGGACCGCGGCTCGAGTCCCGGACCCGGTGGCTTAAAACTCACGCCGGAGCATGTGCGTGCATGCCCAAGATCCCGAGAGGAGAATGGAGGAGAAGGGAATGCGGCATAGCCATTCTCCCTGGGGGGTGATTTCTTGCTTTCTGTCTTTTTGTCTCTCTCTGTCTGTCTGGTAAGTGCATGTGCTCTATAGCAAAAACCTTTCTAAAAAAAACCCTATTTGATGACTGCAGTAAGCTACATAGCCCCAGCTAAGTGCTACTTTATAGTATGTGCATTCTACTCACTGAAGTTTATGCCTAAAGTCAGACTTGTATTCATGGATATGTATATATCAGCTGCACTTGCTATTGAAAATATTCAGATTAATTAAGTTATTTAGCGAATCAATAAAATGGGGGGAAAAGGCATAGAAAGCAACCATGGATACCATAGACGGTATGGGAAGAGGGTGGGACACGGCAGAGGGTGAGAGAGGGAATCAAGGATGGGAAAAAAAAGCAAAATATACAGGAAACAAGAAATGGAAAATTATTTGTTGATGATAACATGTATGTTGATGTGCTTGATTGAGCCAATATACAGTGTATTCTGGATGGAAAATTCATTTTGTATGCTGTAATGATGTACAGTGAATGAAAGTAAGTAAGTAAATAAGTAAATAAATAAAAGTTTAGAGAGAGAAGGAGGGAGACATAGACACTTGCCACAGGGTCTTCAACTGCCATCTACCTCCAGTCTTAACTGGCCTGGCTCATGAACATGTGCTCATGTCCAGCATACTTGCGGAGGTCCTAGAATGGAAATTGAGGACCTTCCCCACCTCGGTCCAGATGTGTTACCACTGTACCATCACCTGGACCTAGTAACCTGAACATTTTAACATTAGTTCATAGTTTCATAACAACAAAGTGACTTCAGATGGATCCCAAGATCCAGTAGTTCTTTTTTTTTTTTTTAAGAGATTTTTGCTATAGGGTGCATGTGCTTGCCAGAGAGACAGAAAGGGAGAAATCACTCTCTCCCCCACTCCCAGGGAGTATGGCCATACCACAATCTCTTCTTCTCCATTCTCCTCTCAGGGTTTTGGGCATGCATGCATATGACCCTGGCCTGAGTTTGAAGCCACTGGGTCTGGGACTCAAACCATGGTCAACCATTTGGGAGTCCAGTGATGTAACCATTACATCATCTGCTGGTCGATCCATAATTTCATGGTCTTACTTCAAGATTATCATATTAAAAGGATTCACTGACATACAAGAAGATGCCAGAGATAAAGTCCCAATTTTGTGATTAAAGCTAAAACAGCAAATAACATTTGTATGTATGAGTTTTCTGATTATAAAAGTAAGTAGTTATGCTTAAAATATAGCCATTTCCCACAATTAGTGTGGAAAATGGTAACACTGTATAGAATAACAGATGTACTCTCAGTCTATTTCAAAAAGCAGAAAGAAATTATTAAAATATACAAATACATGTTTATATGTAATGATTTAAATTACCTTTCTTCTTCTCGAACCCATATTGGAGTTTTGGGAATTTGTGCTTCAAAAAACTTAGATGCTCTATAACAGAAATTGCTGCAAAAAGCCTGGAGAAAACATTAAAAAGTTTTTTCTCATTGTCAAACATTAGAAGCTATATCAAAAAGACAAAATATAAATTTATTGTTCAAAGAATAAAATAAAAATCCAGAAATCTTTCACCTAAGGCAAGAAATAAGATCCTGTACCTTTGAAGGCTTCCCTGTATCCCCCTCCTCAAATGCATGACCATCCACATTCCTCAGAGGAAACCACTATTATATATTAGACATTATATATATTGGCATTAATCATTACCTTGCTTTTCTCTAGTTTTGCCACCTATATACACTTCTCTATAAAACATATCATTCAGTTTTGCCTGTTTTTAAACTTTACCTAAACAAAGTCATTGCTATACTGTCTTCTCTTGTCCAAAATTATATTTTTAAGATACTCATGTAGTTGTAATTTATCATTTCCACTGTGTATTATATCCTGTTTTTTTTTTTTAGCATGTTATAATTTACTGTTTATAGACAACTGAGTTCTCTTTTTTTTTTTTTTTCAGTTTGTCAAAGGATGTATGCACTCACTAGAGACAGAAAGAGAGGAAAAGTGAGAAAGCACCCTGTGCAGGGAATGGCCATACTACAATTCCTTCTCCATCTCTCCTTTCTTTTGGGTTTTGGCATGTAGGCTTTCACGTGTCCAGTGTTTCTAAACTACAGAGTCTATGACTAGAGTCACGGTTGACCATGTGGGATCTGGCTGCCTTAGCCACCATGTCACAGGCTGGCCCAGAGTTGTTTCTATTAATAATTCTTTTGCTATTTCTACAATGTTACCAGGAACTTTTTCTTTTTTTTTTTATAATTATAGCTATTTAAATTGCAATAAAACATACATAATACAAAATTTATCACATTAATTATTTTTAAGTATAAAGTTATATGGCATTAAGTACCTTCCCACTATTGTGTAATCATCACTGCTACTCACCTTTAGAACTCTTCTTCTTACAAAACTGAAACTCTATACCCATTAAATATTAACTCACATTACCACTCCTTCTAGCTCTATGAATCTATTTCTAGGTAACTCATATACCTAGAATCATACATTTATCCTTTTGTATTGACTGATATCACTTAGTATAATGTACTTAAGGTTCACTCATGTTGTAATGTGTCAGGATTCCCTTCCTTTTTGAGGCTGAATAACATTCCACTGTATGTATGTATATATATGTATGTGTGTGTGTTTGTGTGTGTATGTATGTATATACACACACTATTTTGTTTTCCTAGCTGTGAACATTCTAATATGTATGGGCAAGAATTTCTGTAGGGTACAGGCAAAGGAATAGAAAGATTTGATGGGGCCAGCAGGTGGTGTGGAAATCAAGGCAGCTGAGTTATCTTTCTTTCCCTCTCATGTACATTCCCTTTGGCAATTAAAATAACAAAAGCAAAAGATCGAGCATTTTTTGAATGCTCACTAGCCATTAAAATTCTGTGTGAGGGACCACCAGTTAGCGTAATGGCTATGTCGCTGGACTCCCATGTAGTTGACCGCGGTTCGAGTCCCGGACCTGGTGGTTTAAACTCACACTGGGCACATGTGCGTGTGTGCCCAAGATCCCGAGAGAAGAATGGAGGAGAAGGGATTGCAGCGTAGCCATCCCCGCTGGGGGGTGATTTCTTGCTTTCTATCTTTCTGTCTCTCTCTTTCTGGCGAGCGCACGCGCCCTACAGCAAAAACCTTTCCAAAAAAAAAAAATTCTGTGTGAAATTTCATTAATTGGGTCAGCAGGTGGCACTGCAGTTAAGGTGTTGGACTCCCACATGACCAACTGTGGTTTGAGTCCCAGACCTGGCTGCTTGCTTTCTCAGTCTCCCTATTTCTCTCTGGTCAAATAACACAAATTTAAATAATCTTTAAAAACATTTTTTCTATTAATATGTCTTTAGTTTTGCCAGGGGTCATGTGCACTCACTGGAAAGACAGAGAGGTGGGAGTGAGAAAGTACCCTATGGGGAATGGTCATGACGTAACCCCTTCTCCTCCATTTCGCCCTCTTTTTGGGATTTCAGGTATGCATGTACATGTGCTCAGCATGTTTTTAAACTGCAGAATCCAGGACTAGAATCACATAGTTGGTCATGTGGGATCCAACCTTAACCACCATGCCATTGGCTGACCCAATTCATGTTTTTTTCAATTAATATGCCATATACGCTGAATATGAATTTGTGGTCAATTACATGTGAAAAATATATCTTCTTCTGGTTTATGGCTTAACTCTTCACTTTTTGTAACTTTTTGATGAACAAAAGCTTACATGTGTCATTTTTTAAGGTTTTCGCCATAGGGCACATGAGCTCACTGAGAAAAGGAAATCAGCTGAGAAATCAGCCCCCCAGCGAGGGGTTGGCAATACTGCACCCCTTCTCCATTCTCCTCTAGGGATGTTAGGCACTCAAGCACATGTACCCAACGTGATTTTCAACCTGCTGGGTCCTAGCCTTTAACCACCGAGTCAGTCATGTGGGATCTGGTGCCTTAACCACCATGCCACCTGCTAGTCCGAGAACTTGAAATTTTAATGTACAAAAATTTATTAGTTTTTCCTCTATGCTCTATAACTTTTAATCTTATTTTAAAAAATTCTCTTTATCCTAAAATTACATTCTCCTATATAGCCTTTAAAATAGTTTGCCTGTTACACTTAGGTTTTAAACTACCTAAAGTAATCTTTGCATGCAGGCCAACATAGAGGTGGATTTTCATTTTTTCCAATGGGTAACTAATTATGGCAGTACTATTTACTGAAAACTCCACTTTTCACCAATGGTCTACAATATTCCCATTACCATATATTGACTGTCCATGTATGTGGTAAGTAGGTTACTGACTATTCTTTTCCATAATTACTTGGACTAGATTTTTATAAATATGTATTTTTAATTAAAAAAATTTTTAAGAGATTTTTGCTATAGGGTGCATACACTTGTCAGAGAGACAGAAAGCAAGAAATCACACACACACACACACACACACACACCCCGGCGCAGGGGGGGGCTCTGCCACAATCCCTTCTCCATTCTCCTTCTCAGGATTTTGGGCATCCACGCACATGCACCAGGCGTGAGTTTAAGCCATTGGATCTGGGACTTAAATGGTGGTCCACTATGTGAGAGTCCAGTGACATAACCATTATACCATCTGTTGGTCCCAAATGTTAAGAATTATTAATACTTGGTTGAAATTTTACAAATAAAACCAAACTTTTTTTTTTTTTTGAGAGATTTTGTTATAGGGTGCATACGCTCACCAGAGAGAGAGAGACAGAGACAGAGACACAGAGAAATAGGAAAGGAGAAATCACTCCTCAGGGGGATGGTCATGTGCTGCAATCCCTTCTCCTCCATTCTCCTCTTGGGATTTTGGGCATGCACACACATGTACCTACTGTGAGTTTTAAGCCACTGGGTCTGGCATCAAACTGAAGTTGACTACATGGGAGTCTAACAACATAGCCATTATGCCATCTGCTGGTCAAAATTAAACTTTTAACAAGGTTATTTTCTAACAGAAACAAGGTAAAACATTTATTTATTATAATTTGCTATGCATTGTATGCACTCTCTGGAGACAGGAAAAAAAAGTGAGAAAGCATTCCCCAGAGGAATGACCATGCCACAATTCCTTCTCCTCCATCCTCTCTCAGGATTTTGGGTGCACGCACGCACACACACACACACACACACACACATGCCCAGCATATTTTTCAAGCCACTGGGTCCATGACTCAACTGTGCAGTTAGCTATGTGGGGCCCAGCCATCTTAACCACTATGTCACCTAGCTGGCCCTAAACAATTGTATTTTATTTATTTTTTTAGAGAGATTTTTGCCATAGGGCATATGTGCTAGCCAGAGAGATAGAAAAATAGAAAGACAGGGAGAGAGAGAGAGAGAAAGAGAGAGAGAGAGATGAGAAATCACACACACACCCCCTGGGGGAGGGCTACACTGCAATCTCTTCTTCTTCAGTCTCCCCTCGGGATTTTGGGCACTCACACACACCTAGCATGAGTTTTAACCCACCGGGTCTGGGACTCAAAGCATGGCCGACTGTCTGGGAGTCCAGTGACATAACCATTCTACCATCTGCTGGTCCCTAAACAATTTATTATTATTTTTTTTGGGGGGGGGAGTTTTTGCTATAGGGAGCCTGCACTTGTTGGAAAGAAAGAGAGTGATGGAGAAACAGAAAGCCAGAAATCACCCGCCAAGGGGATGTCCATGCTGCAATCCCTTCTCCTCCATTCTCCTCTTGGGATTTTAGGCATACATGCACACATGCCCAGCATGAGTTCAAGCCACCAGGTCCAGGACTGGAATCACAGTGGACTATGTGGGAGTCCAGCAATGTAACCATTAGGCCATCTGCTGGTCTCTCAAACAATTATTTTTATAATTCCATTTAGTATCATTAAAAATTAACTGCCACATTGAAAACTGCCTTTAAACTTACCTTTCTTTCAGTAATATCATAGACTTTATTGGTTTTTGTAGAAATTTTATATTTCTGCCTTGGTACCTAATGAAAAGAAAGTACAGATTACAAAAGAATCCAAGAAATAACCATAACCTTTTAAGATTAAGTCATCTATATATCGTATCTTTGGCCAACCCACTTCATTAGTTCATGACCTCAGGTTTCATTTCTTGTTCTTTCTACAAGATTTTTAGCTAAAAACCCAAACAATAAAACCTGAAACAATAAAAAAAAAAACCTATATTAAAAAAAAAAAGTTACTTACTACTCCCAGCTTCTTCTGACATAAAGGATAACCGCAGAGTTTGATAATAGAGCGCTCATCCACAACGTCACTGTAGTGAGCAGGTGTGATGAATTTCCCCTGAAGTGAAATGAGAGTGGCATATAATCCCAGATTAATAGAAATGTTTATTTCTAACTTTCTAAGCCTCACTGATCTCATCTGACAACATAGGGATAACAATGGTACCTACCTCCTAAGTTTGAGGTTAGAATTAGAGGAGAGAAATAAGAAAGAACACTTAGAGATGTGCTCAACATATAGTAAGCATTCAAAACAAAAATTTCTGCCACAGACTATGCATCTTTAGAGAATATTGTTTATTAAATAATTCTAGTCAAGAGGAATAAGTGGTGCTATAGCTATATCAAAGCTAAATAATGACAGTATGTATTTTTTAAAAGATATATTCAAAAATTAAACTAAACCACATAAAGTATTAAAATGTAATCTTACTTACTTAAACACAACCTTAAAAAAAAAAAAGTATAATCATGTGCAGCATAACATTTCAGCCAGTGATGGGCTGTACATATGATGGTGGTCCCAAAATATTTTAATAGGCTCTATCATTTAGCCTAGGTATGTAGACGGCTATCTCATCTAGGTTTGTGGATATATGCTCTATGATGTAGGGGCTGGCAGGTGGCATGGTAGTTAAGGACGCTGGACTCCTGCATGGCTGACTGCGGTTTGAGTCTGAATCTGGCCACTTGCTTTTTCACTGCGGTTTGAGTTTGAATCTGGCCACTTGCTTTCTCACTTTCTCTCTCTCTCACTTTCTCTCTCTCTCTCTGTCCCTCTGTGGTCAAACTGTAAAATGGAAATATAAATAAATAAAGTTAGATAGTTCTAAAAAAAAAAATCAACGTTATAAAAAAATGCTCTATGACATTTGCATGTTGCAATCACTAATGATGCATTTATCAAAATGTATCCTCACTGTTAATCAACACATGATATTAAAGATGTCACTGCGATTCTTAAAAAAAAATTTGTTCAATATTTCTACTTCTGAAAAAAATTGCACAGAGTATCTGATTCTTGAAAAAAATTTTGTTCAATCTTTCTACTTCTGAAAAAAATTGCACAGAGTATTGAGGTGACGGATATAAGCTAACAACAAATATATTCCTCTGACATCCTCAAATTCAATTCTTGTTTTGTAATTATGAGATCTTTTTGAAAAAGATCTACTTATATAGAGTCTGGTACTTTTTAATGAGAATGATGTAAATTTTTTTCAGAACACAAAAACTTGGATAAAGTAGCGTGGTGGTTAAGGAAGCTGGATACCACATGGCTAACTGTGCAGTTCAAGTCCTGCACCCAGCAGCTTGGAAAAACATGCTGGGAATATGTGTGCATGCCCAAAATCCTGAGGACAAATGGAAGAGAAGGGACCGCAGTGTGACCATGCCCCATAGGGGTGTGCTTTCTCACTTTCTCTCTCTCTGGTAAGCACTTGCACTCTTGGGAAAATTAAAATAAACAAACAAACAAACAAAATCCCAAAATTTGTTTGGTTTGTCTTTGTTTTTAGTGGCATCATTCATGCAGATGCTGACACGCTACCTATATCAATTTATATACTGTAATTTCATAATTTTCTTGTTTAGAAAAGTTTCTGAAACACACTAAAAATTATTTTTGTAAAAGAAGCTGAGTTTTTATTTCTTTTTTTTAAGGATTGAGAATCTAAACAAAATTCCATTCACGATTTTAATGCAGCAAAATTAAAAAAAAATTAATGCAGATAATAATTCTTTTGTGTTAAGCTGTGAATGATCTATGCTTCAAGTTTTAAAAGTATTCAAATTAATAAAATTAAACTAACAAAAAATAATCTTCATTTACTTAACATAACAGAAAGAATATAGAAGACTGATAATGTGATCATTAGCACTAAGTGAAGAACATCAAATGATGTAAGAGTTAAAAGAACTACAGTTAAGGGCCAGTAGGCTGGACTTCCACACGGCTGACCTCAATTTGAATCCCAGACCTGACGACTTAAAACTCTCTCTGGGCATGTGTGCATGTGTGCCCAAGATCCCAGGAGGAGAATGGAGGAGAAGCGATGCAGTAGCGGTGTAGTCTTCCCCTCTGGGGGTGATTCCTCACTTTCCTTTTCACTGTCTCTGTCTGTCTTTCTCTCCAGTGAGCACCTGCACCCTAAAGCAAAAACCTCCATTTAAAAAACAAAAAAATTAAGAGGTAACAAAATACTTGTTTTGGGGACCAGCAGATGGCATTAATGGTTAGGCTGCTGGGCTCCCATGTCATTGACTATGGTTCAAGTCCCAGACACAGCGACTTTAAAAGATGCTGGGTGTGGGCGTGTGTATGCCAAAAGTCCCGAGAGGAGAATGAAGAAGGGATTATGGCATGGCTAATCCCTTTGGGGGTGACTTTTCGCTTTCTGTCTCTGTCTCTCCAGGGAGTGTACTCACCCTATAGCAAAAACCTCTCTAAAAAAAAAGAAAAAGAAAAAAATACTTGAAAAAAATTGATAAACAGTAACTATATGTTTATGGGGAATGTTGTGATGTTTCAACGCATATCTACATTGTGGAAAGAGATTAGGGAAATTAATATAGCCATCACTTCACAAACTTATTTCTTTCTGGTGAGAATATCTAAAATCTACTATTGGTAATTTTGAAATATATTATTAAGTATGGTCACCGTGCTATATACTTGTTACTTTTCATTAGTGTATTTTAAAGTCATTAAACAAGAAATATAGGATAATTGGTTATTTTAAAACATTAATGATATAGCATGTTACCTTCATCTGATTACTAGAAACAAATTGAAAGACGTCAGTAATGCAAAGAAAGTTCATGTTGCACAACTTTAAAGATATTATACTACAAAAATAATTTGGCAACACATACACACTCTATCAGAAATTCTTCTGTAATATCTTCTTCTAAAAGCTGTTCAACAATACGTAGAGCTTTTCTCTCAAACTCAATCTTCTTTCTCACAGCTGCTTCTAGTTCTGCTTTCCTAAAATTTTAATGAGAAAGTTAATCTACTTATAAGCTTTATCATTCCAATAATTCATGTTTTAAAATATAACACTAGATTCTGAGATGGCTACTGAATTTTAGCTGTGAAATATTGCTTTCAGGGACTAAAAATGGAGACTTTCTGCTGAGACTTCTCCTTTCAGATCCATTTCTAGAATGGTAGGGCAAACTCTGTCTTTTCTCTCCATCTCTATGTCTCTGAATTTTTTGAAAATTTTTTTAGGTAAAGTATTCTCTGAGCTCTCAAGCCCCTCCTTTAACTTGCTAATTCATGCCTTTCCCACTCCCTTCTGGGAGAGGCACAAACCAAGGCCTATTCTGAGATGGCTACTGATCTTCAAGTGTGAAATAACACTTTAGTGCAGTGCACATGTACACCATAGAGTTTTCAATTTTTTTGCATTTTAAAAGTAAAATATAAAATTATTTTATCGTCTTCTTTTTCTTTTTTATAGTTTTTTCTTCTCTTCTCTTTTTTATAGTTTTTTCTTCTCTTCTCCTCTTCTCTTTTTTTCTTTTAACTTAATCCCTTGGTGGCTTAGTCTCCACAAACTGAGTGTCTACGTGAACAGTATCCAAACGTCTGATTACTGTTAGGGTCAGAATATTTCTCAGTTCCCACTGAATCTGATGCACAAAGAGTGAAAAATGGAACAGAAGAGAGACTGCAGATTACCACTTCCAGCATGCCTCTGAATGCTCAGATTGAACTTCAAGAATTAGGAAGAAATGCACAACCTATCTGATGACCAGAAATCACCACAGGGGCAAAAGAAATATGAGAAAGCAAGAAAATATCTCTCCTCCAAGGGAAAAGAATAACTCTTCTTCACCCAGAGACAGTACAATGGAACTCATGGAAATGTCAGATAAAGAATTTAGAATATTCATAGTGACAAAGCTAACAGAGATGCAAGAGAAGAGAGACAATGAACTCTAGAAGAGACAGGAGAAAAGAGCCAACAATTTCCAGGAGGTAAGGAAGTTCTTGCATGATCTGAAAGAGGAAATACATATAAAAAAGAATCATACAGAACTGTTAGAGATGAAGGCCGTAATACAGGAAATCAAAATCTCCCTTGAAAAAGACAGAATCAGTGGCCTAGAAAAATCCACCACAAAGACTGAGAAAATAGCCCCCCAAATGAGAATAATATACAAGAAATACTAGATACCATTAAATGTCCAAACATCTGGATAATTGGTATTCTATAAGGTGGAGAAACTAATAAGGACATTCATAATCTATTCCATGAAATCCTGGAAAAAAACTTCTAAACCTAGAGAGGCATTCCAAGATCCAGATCCAAGAAATACAAAGGACCCCAAATAGAATCAACCCAAGAAGATCTTCTTCAAGACACATTATAATCAGACTGGCCAAAACCACAGACAAAGATAAGATATTGAGATTGGCACGAGAGAAACATCAAATTACCTACAAAGGATATCCCATTAGACTAACAGCAGATCTTCATCAGAAACAATGCAAGCAAGGAAAGAATGGGAAAATATATTCAAAGTGTTAAGGGAAAAACAATTTTAACCAAGAACACTGTACCCGGCAAGATTATCCTTCATGTGGGAAGAAAAGACGGACATTCTCAGATAAACAAAACCTGAAAGAATTTATCAACACCAGACCTGCTCTCCAAGAAGTTTTGAAGGAAAATTAAATACAGTCACACAGAAATAAGAGTACAAAAACAACCAAGAAAATGGCCAACTTAATGGTAGGGACAAGTCTGGAGTTGAATGTTATGTTCCAGAAGTTAAAAGGGAAGATTGGACCACATGGAAGATAAAGTACATGAGACTGAACTGGTGAAATAGAATCTATGACTTTTGACTAAAACTTTACTGATTTTCTTATGTGCTTTGTTTTCTGGTTTTAAGGATTTTTGTCTTACCTTGAGCTACTGATAGGTTCATGCACCTACTATTGGAACAGTTTTAACCTGTTTCCTGGCTTTAAGTTTTAAATAAAGCTCTCTTAATATCTTTTAAATTTTCATTTATTAAAGCTAAAACTGCTAGGACCAGCAGTTGGTGTAATGGCTATGTCGCTGAACTCCCATGTAGTTGACCGCGGTTGGCGTCCCGGACCTGGTGGCTTAAACTCACGCTGGGCATGTGTGCGTGCATGCCCAAGATCCTGAGAGGAGAACGGAGGAGAAGGGATTGTGGCGTGGCCATGCCCCCTGGGAGTGAATTCTCACTTTCTGTCTCTCTGTCTCTGTCTTTCTGGCAAGCACATGTGCCCTCTAGCAAAAACCTCTCCAAAGAAAGAAAGAAAGAAAGAAAAAACTATAATGAACCGATAAGACTATGTGATAATTTAAGAAAATAAAAAGCATGGGGCCAGCAGAGGTGGCATGGTGGTTGAGGTACTGGACTCCCACATGGCCAACTGTGGTTTGAGTCCTGGACCTCGGGGCTTACCTTCTCACTTTCCCTTTCCCTCTCCAGTCAAATGGAATAATAATAATAAATAAATAAAATTAAATAATTATTTAAAAGAAAAATCTTCCTGGGAGGGCTTGTCCTTTTTAACACTGGGACCATCAGTCTTTGCTAACCCTCCCACATCATGGAACACAAAAGCAAAGCTATCTGATCAAACAATGGCCCATAGGAGGATGGTTCTCAGGTCTAGCTGCTGCAAATTAGTATCATCTGAGGAGATTTTTAAATACAGTGAGTGAATCCCATTGCAGGCTGTTAAATCAGAACCTTTGATGCTGGAGCCTGGTTATAGGGATTTCATTAAAAGCAACTGTATAATCTTACTGTCAATAGGGTTGCAAATAACTGCCACTATCACAGGATAAAATATAACCATCTCGGTGTTTTTCTTCCCTGCACTGGTTTCCACTTGCCTGCCAGAACTACCTTTTGCTGGCATGAGCCTTGACTTGGCTCTCACATCTGGACTAGAATGTGTTCATCTTTTCTTCCTATCTTCACTAACCTCTAAGATCTTAGAGTCTTATTTCTTGCCCAGAGTAACATGTTTTACAAAACAATTTGGAGGACTGACAGTTTTCCCAACAGAATTCTGCAACTAACACCTATTCTCCCACCTTTTCATGAAGGTCATTTTTAAATCAAAGAGGTATAAATGACACTGTGGTGTACAAGAGCAGTTCGAAAACTTTTTCGTCTTAGGACTACTTTGTACCTTCGGATTAGTGCTTTTGCTTTATGTAGATTATATTTGTTCATATTTATCACATTAGGATTAAAATTGAGAAAATGTAAAAGCATGTATTTACTAATTTATTTAATAATAAAACTATTATATGTTAATAACTTTTTAAATGATCAAGTTAATGAGAAGAGTGGGAGTTTGATATTTTTGCATCAGTTCAATTTCTTAATAGTATTAAAGGATTGAACGTAGAAGTACTTTCCAGTTGGAGTTAATTTGGAGGGTTACTCCCCTCATCAACTACTTACTTTGTTTCTCTCTGCCCCATGAGATTTTGACTGTTTCATTAACCCTAGGTGATCTGCTCAAAATATATTTCAGCTTATCTACTAAGTCATTGGGAAAGTCATGATACATTTTTGCATAGAGGAACTCCTCATGACTTTCCTGACAACCTAATCTATTCCTCAAACTGTATAGGAAATATAATCTCCACTGATATGTGCTCAGATGCATGAAGAGACCTGCAAATTAACATCATAATCAATATTATCCAAAGCCAAGTGAGTATCATCTTGCTGCTCCTCAGGGAAATATTCTCTAAAATAGATTGCAAATCCATTAAGTTTCTCCATTCCAAAGATGATCACCATTAACATCTTAAAACATTTAAAACTTAAATCCCATCACTCCCTTACTTAAAAGTTTGCCCAGTCACCCCTAGACAATCTAAATTTCTCACCATGACCTACCAGGTATTGTACACACAGAATTCTGCCTCTCTAAGCTAATTCTGCCCTTTTCTTCCTTGCCCAGAAGGCTGCATACACCATAGCATCACTACCTTCTTTGAACTGGCCAGGGTTTTTGTTTGGGGATCTTCATACATACTGTCGCTTCCAGTTGGATCTCTTTTTTCACTATTCTTCTTTTTTTTTTTTTTTTGAGAGGTTTTTCGCTATAGGGCGCGTGCTCTGTCCAGACAGACAGAGAGAGACATAGAGACAGAAAGCGGGAAATCACCCCCTAGGGGGGATGGTCATGCCGAAATCCCTTTTCCTCCATTCTCCTCTCGGGATCTTGGGCACGTACGCACACACGCCCGGTGTGAGTTTTAAGCCACCGGGTCCGGGACGTGAACTGCGGTCGACTACGTGGGAGTCCAGCGACATAGCCATTAAGCTAACTGCTGGTTCCCTTCACTATTCTTTTGATTAAAGCTTAGTCGGCCTTAGGTCTCAGCTTACTTATTACTTCCTCAGAACTGCCTTTCCCTGAAAACCAGAGAGCAAACCTCCTTGTCACTCCCCCCATTAGACTCTATTAGTTTCTCCTTATAACATCAGTCTCTTAGAACATTTATCGCCATTTGTAATTATGCACTTGTGTTAATTTAAGTATCTCCACTATACAAGAACTGAATCTATTCTGCTCCACACCATAACCTCAGGCCCGAACACAAGCCTGCAATCTTATACACAGTAAATAATTTTTTTTTTTTGGAGAGGTTTTCGCTATAGGGCGCGTGCGCTCACCAGACAGACAGAGAGAGACAGAGAGACAGAAAGTGAGAAATCACCCTCCAGGGGTCATGGTCACACTGCCATCCCTTCTCCTCCATTCTCCTCTTGGGATCTTGGGCACGCACGCACACGTGCCCGGCGTGAGTTTTAAGCCACCGGGTCTGGGACGTGAACCGCGGTCGACTACGGGGGAGTCCAGCGACATAGCCATTACGCTAACTGCTGGTCCCCCACGTGGAGAAAATAGGAACAAAGCCAATACAAGATTGGCCAGAGTAAATAGGAACAAAGCCAATACAAGATTGGCCAGTCTTTGAAGTGATAAATCACAGATTTTTAATTCCCTTCAAAGACTACTCCTCATGTAGAAACTTTCTTCGACACGAGATAATATCTTGCCCTTTTAGATGCCAAAAGACAGCAGAGGACAGCTTTGTGATGAAAATCTGGACTGGTATAACACATTTAACAGATGTTCTTTGTTTCTTGTAATGATAAAGAGAAACTTGGACAGTGAGTCCAAGCCAGCATATAAAGCAATTAAAGGAGTGTACTGGTATAAATGGAAAAGAAGTATCTGATTCAGAAATGGTTGTTCCCACAGACACCTTTCTAGAGATACTCATACCTTCATCTGTGGTCTAAGAGTCTCTAGTTTGATTTTTGTAAAGTCTAGAATACAAAAGTACATAACAGTCTGTTTAGTGCTTCCTAAATCAACCCTTCCCTCTCTTAAAAAAAAAGTACCATAATTGTTTAAAATTGGTTCAATTAACATGCAATAAATAAGTGAATACAGGTGTCCAAGTAGTTCTCATACCGCTTAGAAGCATCTTCTTGTTTCAAGGCACTTGTCTGTTTAGCACCTACAATTAAAAAGAAAAAGCAATACTAGGTCAAGTCTACACAAACCCGAGGTACAAGGCAGATGCCTACCCAAATAACGAACTGTACATCTTTTCTTCTTTCCTACACATTTCATTGCCAATCATGTATATAAATCAAAATGAAAGGGAATCCAATTTATTTTTTCTAAATTGATGGTACGTTAATTTTTCTTGGTTAAAATACATCTTTTTGGGGATTGTATTTTTAGGGACTGAACTTTCTCATGTATCACAGTTGCTTAGTTGATTAACCACTCTTGAAAATCTGAGATCTGGATTCTTCCAGCGGAAATCTCTTTCCATCCCCCAAATATTGGCTCCCAGAGTCCAACACTTCAACAAGCCGGGCACCGAAGCAGTCTGGGAGGAGGACCTCTCCTAGGTGCAAGGCCAGCTGCCCAGCCCTGCCACGCTGCCCTGGCCACTTGTCCACTCTGGAGATCCAGCTCTGGGCTGCCAGCACTTCCACCCCCTTTCCCTCAGAGGCTGGGGTCACGGCCCACGCTGGGGGAAATCTCGAGGCGTGAAGGTCTGCACAGAAGAGCTTTCCCAAAAGCGCAAGAACGGCAGAGGGACGCTCTTGGCCTTCTCTACACCAGGGACTCCTCTCCGAGGCAGACATACGGGAGCGCCCGGCGCGCCTCCGTCTGGAACTCGGCCTGGGTCCCGTTCTCAGGCTTTAAAGGTGGAAAGAGACATTGTGCTTACCTGCGGCGTTTCGAGAAGTCCGAGCCTTGTGGGCCCCAGAGCGCAGCCGGGTCCTGTCGGCCATAGGTGCGCGTCGCAGGAGGAGCAGGGATAGACCCTGACGTCACCCCCTCAGGCCACGCCTCCCCAAGCGTACGCCGGAGGGGCGGGACAAGCC